AGAGAGAGAGAGAGAGAGAGAAAGAGAGAGAGAGAGAGAGAGAGTCTGTCTGTCTGTGTGTGTATGGTGTTTTATCCTTTTCTTTTTTGTCTGTGTGCTGACTTTTTATAGAGACATTGTAAAGTTGAGTGGTAAGGAGGTATTAAAGATCAGGGAGGAATTGGGTAGTAAAATTGTGATCTAAAATTAGTACAGGAAAAATATTTCTCAAACGTCAACAACAAATCTTAATAAAACATACAAAAATTATTTACCAAAGAGATTTTACTGTGTTTAAATATTGGAGATGTCCCTTACCAAATTCAACAGGTGTTGTTCAGCTAACAGACATTTAAAAGGAGTCCACAGAGAGAGTGATGTCCCCTCCTGCCCTCATCTCATTTCTATCCTGCTGATGTGTGGCTACACTGTGACCCCTGCTGGTCTTGATATGCCTTGGCTTACAATAAAGTTTCAAAGTGTAGCTTCAGCAGCAACATATTCCAACTACTTCAATCTTCACAGAGCTCATCTTCAGGAAAATAGGCTCTTGTTTTCCTGGAAGCCCTGAAGGATGTGACAAAGACTGATTGTAAGCGGGGCCTCTATCATTATTAATAATTCTGTCAACACCATCGACTTCCCTGCTGGCAGCTGGATCCAGCTCATCACTACACACTGTTTCTGCAGAGTGACTACAGAGAATTATGGCATGCTAAGTCATTGAACCTTTGAAAATTAATTTTCTTGTTACCTCTTTACCTTTCACATTTTACCAGGAATCATGGAGTTGATCCATTCCTGCTACATTGAGAGGCACATGTCATAGGTTACCAGGTCAGAGTCCTTGGCTCCTGGGACACTGTGTGCCTTCCAGTTCCTGATAAACCAAAGTACTCCCTCAGTCAGGGATGCTTTCAGGCCACCTCTGCTTTTCTGTGTTCCATAGAACCCCTGCTTTCTTACTCCTGAGGGTGGGATGTCCTTCAGTCTCTATTTCGATGTCTCTGTCTCTGCCCCTGTCCCTTGCTCTTGGCCCCCTCTCTCTGAATCACAAGGTCCATGGAACTAAAAAAGTTTCAAATGTACACACAACTAAAATATCCCTCAAACTTCTGATTTTACCCTTTCTGCCTACTCTATTTGTTGCATCAGATTTAAAATATATTGCAGACTGTTCCAGCAACTAGCTCCAGGTATTCTCTCAACTTTGGATCTTGGGACAAGGTTAAAGTGGCTCATCTTAGGTGGTCCTGCCTCACAAATTGCTCCAACTAGTGTCCACATGTCCATAGTCCTAGAAGTTACCTCAGAGCCTGGTCAGCCTGGACAGGGCCAGCATTCCAGCTTCTTTGTTCCCACAGTGCTGTGGGAATTCATCCATCCAATAGTCTTTGAGGTAGTAGCCCCTTTCTGTTGGAGTCTCAGGTGCTGCATGCAGACTGGGAGGGGAGCTCTTGTCTTGCGTGGTGTTTGCAGATCAGGTCTCAGCTTCCGGGCCTCTGGGTAGAAGACTGAGGTGGTTCTCTACCTTATTACATTTATCCCTGAGTGATTCTTAAATAAATGTCTGACATCCCATTATCCAGGCTGGCAAGGACTTTATTACAATCGAACATTACCCCACCCAACAATGATGCCTCAGTGTCAGCAGGAAGTAGTTGTAGAGAAGATTACACATTGCTCCTAATCATTTGTTTATCATCAATAAAAGACTGGGTTATGGGTTTCAAAACTGGGACAAATGGATGAGGTGCCTACTTAATATATCAAGGAAGTAAGTGGACACCACATTCTTCAGACCCTGCCGGCTACAGGGTCCTCCAGGCTGGCAAGTCCTTCCTCCTTCCCTAAACATTGCAGCCCTGGGCTGGGCTTCCCTACCTGAGCTGCTCTTCTGTATATAATCCAACTGTTTCAGTTACCTGGTCCTTTCCATGGCTCCTTTGGTTCCCCTGTGTTCCCTCCCCTTACCCCTCCCCCATTCCTCACATGACCCAGGGTAGTGTCCACTCTGGATCCTCCCAGATGCTCATGCCTCTGGCTATGCTCTCCTGTATGTCTATAATAAACAAAAATCTCCTCCACCATACCTGCGACCAGTCCTGTTCCTTTAACTTTTATTTCGTTTTTTATTCACTAACAACCTTCCCTGAGTCCTAGTGTGACAGCCTAGGCCTCAGATGAGTTTCATGTAAGTGGCTCATGTCTGTTTTGAACAAAGGTCAGAAGTTGGAAGAATAAAATGTAACAGGAGAACCCATGATGAAAGTTACAGGTGAAGTAACTGCATCAGGGAAAATACAAATGGGTCACATCTGTGTCTGATGTGCACAGTGCTCAGGGAAACAGAAGACCTGAGACCTGTTAGGGTGTGGGGGTCACTGAGTGTGGCCTCACCTCCCCTGTGACTCCACTAATCCCAAGCTCTGTCCTAACCGGATACCACTGAGTCTTTGCCTGAATCTCATGAGGGAAAATCACCAATACTGCACACCTCACTCAGCATTTTTTTCTTTCACTTTCTGATAATTTTTTATTTTATTTTATTAGTTAAAATTAGGAAAAGCTTGCTTCACATGTCAATCCCTTCTCCCTCTCCCTCCCCTCCCCCCAATATCCCACCTGCCCCTAACCATCCGAGGTGAGATATTTCCATGTAATTCACGTTAGACTGGGTGGTGCATATATTGTAAATTGTGGCAGAAGAGAACTCTGTGATCACAGATTTCACAGACTGTAAACACAGAGAGCATCCTGAGAAACCAGTAGATGGGGAGACAGCTGTGACCACATAAACCAGCACTCAGTCATGTCTGCACCTGTTCCTGCCCTGTCCCTCCCTCCATGTGTGACCTGCGCCCCCTGCTGGTCCTGAGCGCTCCTGCAGGGAGGTTTGTGTCAGGTTCACACTGAAGTCCTCTCACTGTGTCTTGCACAGTAATAAATGGCGGTGTCCTCAGCTCCTAAGTTGTTCATTTGCAGGTAGAGGCTGCTTTTGGAGTCATCTCTTGAGCCTCTCACAGACTCCCCATAGTGTGTTTCATAGTTATTAGGTTTGTGTTTAATTACAGCAACCCACTCCAGCCCCTTGCCTGGAGCCTGGCGGACCCAGTTCATCCAGTGGTCACTGAAGGTGAATCCAGAGGCTGCACAGGAGAGTTTCAGGGAATTTGCAGGCTGCACCTCCCCCCGACTCCACCAGCTGCACCTCACACTGGACACCTGTGAAAAGAGAATTTATTGTGTGAGTAAACTCTCACAAAGGTCCACTGTCCCTCTCACTCCTGTCCACTCACACAGTATCTCTCCTTATGTATAAATTGCCTTTGAACAGAACCACAAGGAAAACCCAGCTCAGTCTTACCTCCATGCTGAGTGTTGACTGTTTAGTGATGACCACAGAATGGAAGGACCTGTGAGTCCAGAGCTGGGTGTCTCTGTCAGAGCTGTGGGGTCAGGGCTGGTTTTCATTGGCAGAGGAGAACAAAATTTGCATGTCTTTCTGCTATATCATGAGCTGAGGGATGTGAGTCTTACTTGAGACAGTTTATGGTCCAAATGTCAGTGATGAAATAAGGACCAAAGTGGCATTTAGAGCATCAATGTGTCACTTACTGTCCTGGGGACAGAGCTCAGCTGGTAGAGTGTTTTGCATGCCTGATGCTCTGTGTTCATTCCCAGCCCTGCATGATGGGCAAGCATTGGAGCAGGGGAATCATAGTTTTGACTTGTGATTTGTTTATATGAAACTGTCAGAAAAGAATAGAGATGGCAAAAGAATGAAATAAAAGATTATTTATTTGGAATGAGTTTATGGTTTTATATTTAAATATAGGTTTTTAGTCTGTATTATGCTTTGTATTTGTAAACTCCTTTCTTGTTTTGCATAGATTATTGAATAATGTCATAGGAAATTAATATATAAAACTAAAATATAAAAACATAAGAAATTGGCCTGGTGTTGGTGGCGCATCCACTCGGGAGGCAGAGGCAGGCAGATCTCTCTGAGTTCGAGGCCAGCCAGGTCTAAAGAGCACATACCAGGATAGGCTCCAAAGCCACAGAGAAAACCTGTCTCTAAAAACCAAAAAAATAAGATATTTTATATAAGGTTCAGTTAATAATGAATGATTACATTAAATTGAGTAAGATAATCCTACTGAAACCACAGCTCATTGCTACCGTATATCCTGCTTAAATCTCTAAAATTGATTGTCAAATAATGAAACAGCACACACACATACACACACACATATATATTATATATTATATTTTATAAGTTATATATTATATACTATATATAATAAGACTATCCTTTGACCAATGGTAAAAGTGCTTTTTGAATACCTGTGTTCACGATTTAGCTCCACCAGGACTGACCAACTCCATCTACCATAGAGACCAGCTCTTCACCACCACAAAGGCACAGACAGCTCTTCTGTGACCTCCCTAAAACACCCAGGGGGCCTAGTTCCTTCCAGCCACTTCCTTCTGCTCTCAGTATCCTCGGTGATGTGTCTTGCTCTCACCACCAGCTAGGCCTGTTCTTTCCCACAGAGAAGATCCTCCTGGTCCCTGAGGGACTGGCCTGTGCTGCACCACCAGGTCCTGCAGCTCCTACCTTTCCACAGTAAACTCTCTTCCTGTGACCTTCTTCTCCTGCCATCATGCTGTCTTTGTTCCTTCCCACATCTGAGACAGTCTTCACCATGGTCTTGCTTCTCGACACTGCTGGGCAGACATTGTTTTACTTAGCATACTTAGGCCTTCTAATTCTCTAGGTTCTTGCTTCTCATCGTTGCCAGACTTCTTGGGTTTTGCAGAAACTTTCCTCCCCATGCCTTCACTGTTTTTAAACATTTCCAAAGCACCAAAATTACCATGTCTGTGAGTGACAAAGTTGGAGAAAAATCTGAAGCCTCCACTCTAGGGTCTGGCTCTGATGTTTCTCCATCTCTGCAGTCCTGACCCTCCCTAGGACATGACACTCCATAGTGATCATGGGGGAGACTCAGCATGGAGAGCCTTGAAGTTGACTTTCCATGAGACAATTTGGCAGGTTCTAGCTTCCCAATAGAGAAATTAATTCTTTAATGAACTGAGCTGTCTTCAAAGTGATTGAGAGGGTTTTGACTTGTGTCATTTCTGTTATTGTAGCACTCACAGGAGAGTGACATAGACTCTAGGAACTAACTGATCTTGTGTCCTTCTAGGGGAGGGTTCTAACTGCCATTGGAGATGGTCTCCTGGGCCTTGTATGTGGTTAACTCTGAGTAATAAACTCTGGGTAGAGTCAGGAAACACCTCTGCTGGCCCCTCTGCACTTACTCCCCAGGCTATGCATAACTAATTCATTTTTTTGATGTGTCTTTGTAAAAATACTTAGCAATGTTATTGATCATGTGGATTGGTTTAATTGTAATGATATTTCAGACTGTGTTCCCGTGTGTTTTCTTTGATAGAACAAGGTCTCCAATTGATTAATCTCCCTCCTCCATATGGATTGCTATGAAATGTTTGTATACAGATACATTCTCAGCAATACTGTACAGGTCAGGATTGTTGTCTGGGATTCTTGTTTGCTTGGGAAGAATCATGACAGTAATAAGATGGGGTTTTGTGGAGAATGGAAGCTTTGTTTATTCTTGAGACATCCAGTCTGTGTCCACAGAAGTCAGCCCCATGCACTTTGCCCGAGTCCTGCTAGTTCACATCTAACAACAACCCAGCATTCATGTTACTATTAATTTTTCTGTTGACAGTTCCCAAGAATTCACACATAAGGGAACCCCTCTTTCCTTTCTATCCTGACTCTGTGGTTTATATCTGAACAAAAGATTTCATGATGGTGTCCAACCATTTTGCTGCAATAAGACATTGGGAGGACAGTGGGCTTTGGAGGACAAGAAATTTCTGCAATAAAAATTGACAGATTGTAGACACACTATCAATGGAAGAATTTTTTTCCTGATATTCAGCCCTTGCAGAGCCAAGGTATGTGTGTTCTCCTAATTAAAACAGAACAACAAAAAATAGCCTAATAGACAGAATTGCTTATATACAGATATGTAAAAGTTATAGCAGAGTCAAAAATCAGTAGAGGTCATAGGTGGTGCTTGACACCTCTAAAAACAGAAATCTCTCTCAGCCTCTCTCTGTGTCTCCTGTCTGTCTCTCTGTCTCTCTGTCTCTCTGTCTCTCTCTCTCTGTGTGTCTGTGTGTGTGTGTGTGTGTGTGTCTGTGTGTGTGTGTCTGTGTGTGTGTGTGTGTTGTATGGAGGTGCTGGGGTTATCTGTCAATGTCAGTCAGTGTCACCATAAAATGTGTTGCAAAGACAATCCAATTTCAGGAAATAGGGCATTGATCACCCAGGGCTCCTGATGACATCAATGTCTTTTACATTATCAGTGTAGGATCCCCATGATCTGGCCCAGTGTATGTGAGCAGGAGCCCAGAATGCTGAGAGAGTAACAGACTCTATACCAAAGGACTCCACAGTGTGATAATCGGGTCATCTTCATCTCTCAATTGATAATAAATGTGATTACTACTAACAAAGAAATCCAGGATTAGACTCACCTATAAATGATTACATAGAATTGAAATTATGAGGAAAGGTAAAGTGACTCCCCACAAAAAATCTTTGGTAACAACTTCTACTAAAGTATTTGGTGTGCTGTTAAGTACAATAAACTGAATTTTGACATGTGTTTTTGTTTGTGATGATATTGCTGATCTATTTTCCTGGCCAAATATTTATTATAGTGTATTTCCACCTACTTCACCAACAGTTCTAATGTCTTTGATTTAAATCACACACACACACACACACACACACACACACACACACACACACACACACACACACACACACACACACACACACAAACAAACACAA